CTCGTCACGCTCTGCGTGAGTGGTATTTACGACAGTAATGTTAAAAACAAGTACTCCACAGTTACTCTAGGGGTCACAGTTTGACAAAAACAGGATTTCTGCCTGGTGTCCCTTTAAGAGAGTGAACTGGTGTGCGTCAAGATGCTACAAATTTATTTTTTTGCTAACATCCTTATACAGTTTCACCAAAGTCCCATTGTCATTTAGCAGCATAGTAAATCTTTACTGTTTGTCAAATGTGCATGCCATTTTTATCATACAACCCTATAATCCAGAACTTAACAAGAATCTACAATGAAATGTTATTTAATTTTTACCTTGTGGATGTTTTTGTATGGTGTGGCTGCTAGGGATGGCGAAAACTAAAAATGTTCTTGACCGACCACCGAGCCTCATTAGCCGGTTGAAACCGGTTAACCGATTGGTGTAAAAATATCCGCGCATACACACACACACACACAGCCCCGGCGCAGTCCTTCCACTCATGTCACTTTTTTAAAATCCCCATACAGCGCGAAACACGAGTCCAGGGCGTCGCACACCAGACGCTCAGAAGCTCAGTGCCGCATTGCGGAGAGACACATCTTTCAAATTCGAACACATTATTCTCTATGAGTGTACACACACCGGCGGCGCCATTCAGCGTCTGTCCGCGGCGCCCAGCAACGACTCAGGACCGTGTTCAAAATCCTGCTGCGCCACAGAGTGCCGTTTACATAGTTTTATATTAAATTTTTATTATTTTTGTCTCACATCGTTGCTAATGTATCCTGACTGCGCCCTATGCTGCAATATACATGTAGTTTTGCATTCATTTAAAGTTACAGAAATCAGCTGCTTGAATGACAATTGCTGATGTTATTGGATTTTTCAGGTGAGATTCTCAATTCATTCAGTTAACAGATGCTCTGAGGTAACATTAAAGTTTTCAGACTGCAGACTCAGCAACGATTGTATTTAATTGTACAGTACAATCATAACATAGAACAGACATTATCTTCATTTCATGTCATTAAACATAAAAATATATTTCTAGCCCTACAATGATGAGATAGTGCGCGTCCGGTGTGCGATACTGACCGCGGTCGATACTGGAGTGTTCCTACGCGGCGTTATTTTCTCTCTCCTGACACCACCAGATGGCAGTGTAAGCGTCCACGTTTGTGAAAAACATGTTCCAGTTACACAGACATTATGCTCCACACAAGCAAAAATGTGATGTCTACGTATGTGGACACCTGGTCGTAAGTGGTAAAAAAAAAATATATATATATATTGCAATATATCGCAATATGTATCGTATTGTTTTTTTTATCGTGATACATATCATATCGTGACCCATGTATCGTGATGCGTATCGTATCGGGATGCCCTTGCCAATAGCCAGCCCTAATTTAAATATGTGTATCTAATTAGTGTAGCGTACGTGTTATTTTTTATTATTCCATCTTTGTGGATTTGTTTGTTCACGTGACAATTCGTCGCATCACACTCGCAGCAGAGAAGGAGAAGAAAGTTGGTAAATGTCAGTTCAGTTGTGAATCCATTCAATATGTGCATGCGTAGTGTGCATGCGTAGTGATGTGCTATGTGTACATCAGTGTTGGGTAAGTTACTCTAAAAAAGTAATTACTAGTTACTAATTACCTCTTCAACAGTGTAATTAGATTACTGTACTAATTACTCTCTCTAAAAAGTATTTAATTACTTTTAATTACTAATTACTTTCAAAATCCCATATCAATCTCAACCAGCTGAATAATACAATGATAGACATGAATCTGTTAATTCTTTCAAATAAACACTATGCAATTGCATGAATTATCCTTAAACTGACCACGGAGGAGAAGGTTACATTATAAAAACATACTTTTTAGCATCAGACAGTACATTTTGATGTTAAACCCACTATTGTTTTATGTCTGATCTCATGACATTTCACACTTTTTTTCATACATATTTTACAATAATTCATACGAATTTGTACGAGTGCGGTCGTACGATTTAGACATCTATACACAGTATAATATACCTCAATTACATCAGAAGTAACTGTAATTAAATTACAGATAAATTAAGAGTAATCCCTTACTTTACATTTTCAAGGGAAAAGTAATTAAATTACAGTAACTAATTACTTAGTAATTAGTTACACCCAACACTGGTGTACATCTATTATGAAATTGTAATCACTGTTTTGACGAAGTACCAGGCGCTGCTGACATCAAATTACTCTGTCATGCTTTCACGGCGTGATGTGTCAGTGCAGTTATAGGTATGTCCCTAAAATAGTTTTTGTATTATATTATACTATATCATATTATGTTCTTGTATTAGAATATTTAATTTCCAATGAGATAATTAGTAATTTTTGGCGAACATGTGAAATATCTTAGAGAGCAAGACAAAAGGAACTGAATCAAGTGAGATATCCACGACATAATATGCAACTGATTAGAGAATAATTTCTTAGCCAAGGGACAATTGCAAGTGTGACATTTATGTAATACAAAAGTTAAAGTTAACATTGTAAGTTACTTTTTAGACACAATATTGTTTGTTTCAAAATGAAACTGTAGTAGAGTCTCAGTGCAACAGACAGTGATGATTTCTTGACTGAAATCCATGTTTTAAACAGATCAATTGTTTCTTTCTCAAATGAATCAGCCGTTTGAATGAATCGGTTGAATGAATGATTCCAACTCCCTTAAGACAGTCTCAGGGTCCCTGCAGGTCCTTAAAGTCTTAAAGGGATACTCCACTCCATGGTTTTACGGTATGCCTGTTCTGTCATATTTACACCATGCCTTCGCGGCTAGCTCCCACCTCTCTCACTCTTGCCTCGACGGAAGAAGCACACGGGTAGATGTTCGCGCGGCTAGCTCTTTGCTACACGAGAGCTACCCCGCCCTAAAAATACACCATGCGCTCGCGGCTAGCTCTCCCTTTGGATGGCAAACAGCCTCTCGCGCTCTCACGCTTTCTTCCCTCATCGAGCCTCGACGGAAGAAGCGCGCGGGTGTTGATGGTGTGCCCCCTCTAAAAGTGTCTGCCGTCCGGGTGAAACAGTATGCTATTTTTATTTACACGCCACGGTGGCCGGTGGGTGAAGTGAGTTTACCCACCACAACAATTGCTATTTTCCATCCCTGGTGCAATGTTATGGAAGAACCATTCCCTTTTCACATCCAATAACCAAAAGAAAAATGTATTTAGCATTTAAATTCAATAGCATTTTTATTTAAAATAAACATAGCCTTATTTCTCTCACACACTGAATTGCATCGGCGTGCAGTGTGAAAGCTCTAACCTGTTAACATGGGTACGGAAAAAAATATGCACCGCATACGATAATGTGTGAAACGGGCGTAAGTGCGGATGGCTAAGTGCGGGCAGTAATGCACTCGTGTGTGTGTGTGCGGGTTGTGGGGGAATAAAACGATTCGCGGGACTCTCGCAAAATAGAAATATCTATGAATAAAACCGAATAAATTGTTATTCATCTGTTGCACGAAAGCAACAAGAACTAAAACAAAATAGAAATGATTCAGAGTTTCTATTTATAACATGTTTGCAGCGTTTAACAATGTAGCCAATCACAGACATGTGCAGTTCAGTGTTTATTTTCCTTTATACCATGGTCTGGGTGAATACTCGATTCTGATTGGCTGCAGGGTGTCCGTTAAAAAGTGATAGAGGACACCTAGTAAAGTAGTTCTGGTGAAACTGCCTGTTTACCATTCGAAATGAATAAATAAATGCGCTGCCCACAACAGCTGTGAGTAACCATAGCAACAGGCAGTCAAAGTATCCGTTAACAATTTGCTCTATCAAAACAAACATCTAACGTTAGATATTCCATAGCCTACTAATACAACAATGAGCGACTTCGTTATTTCTTTTAACATTTATGGAGAATATGACAACATTGATGACTGGGATGCTGCTGAAGAAAGAAAAAATGTAAATAAAACGGAGAAACGTCGCAAAGAAAATTACACCGCTGCTGCTCTGAATGAGACCCTGCGGGAGTTTTACGCAGCGGTCCAGACAACCAAGTCAGGAGGAGAGTACAGCGTTTCAAGCCTAAGAAGCCTGTTTGATTAATTGTTTTATGTGTAATTAAAAAAATAATAATAACTATGCCTACCTTTGTGTTTCATGAAAAAACAGCGGTTCTCGAATTACCAGTATTGAACCGAGAACTGTTTAGACTGAGCTTGTGTGTTATCTTCGTGCCAGTTATTCAGCCAATAATATGTAGGGCTGTATATTTCATCAAAAATTGTGTCTAGTACTATATTAATACAAATGTTTAATTGGCATCTTTTTTCAAACGACCTGACCGACCACGACCCGAATATCATTAAAAACATATTTGGATGACCCGTAACTGCGGGTAACCGCAGGTGACCGCAGGCACCTGCTCATTTTGGATCAACCCGCGCATCACTGATAGGAATAGATATCAAAAAGGACAGATAATGAACAAGTATGTACATGTGTGTCCTGTTGAAACACATCAATATATAGGAGTAATCGAACTTTCATATCGGCATAATACACACCATGTGTAATAATTTAAAATACTGGCTAGTAGACCTACTGGACTGTAAAAAGTAAGCACACTTCATGCACTGCATTGTAATGTTTCACTGTAAAAGTAGTCAAATAGCTGTAACATTAAGCATATATATATATCAATAATTGGCCGAGATTAAATATTATGTCTTATTATCATCATTATTATTATTGTGGTTGTTATTAACAGTAATTTTTTGATTACTTTATCTTAATTTACAAGTATAATTTCACAATTCCAGCCTTACTGAGCAATGTTGCAAATGTTCATTTTGCGCCACCGGATTGTATTTAACGGTGTAGCCTTGTGGCGCTGCCGGTGGTAATAGGCATTCTGGTTGACTACTTACTGTCTATATAATGCATAAATATATACTTTGTTTTACTTATGTCTTATATATTTTCTTGTGTCAGCCTCCTCCTGAGGTTATGTTGGCTGTTTTTAAACTTGTGAGGGAAAGAGGTCTGATCAACATGGTCCCTGAGCTCATTCTCCTCACCTCAAAGGTAATACTCACTTTCAAAGAATTAGATCAGGGGTGCCCAATCCTGTATCTGGTGATCTACCTACCTGAAAAGTTCAAATCCATCCCTGAACTGTCTGTAATTATCAAGTGCCCCTGATGATCTGGTCCAGTTGTGTTTGATCAGGGTTGGATCTGAAGTTTGCAACAAGGTAGATCTGCAAGAACAAGTTTGTGCATTCCTGCATCGGATCACTGGTAGAACAAAATTTTGCATTCCTGCATTGTATCATAATATAATATAATATAATATAATATAATATAATATAATATAATATAATATTAAATAATATAATATAATATAATAGAGATAAGTGATTGTGTGTGTGTGTGTGTGTGTGTGTGTTCTGCCATTACAATTTCAAATTAGTCCTAATGTGACATTTAATTTTTGTTTATGTATTTAGATCGTTGAGGCAGGATGTGTATTCAGTGTGGATCAGTGTGAGGTCATGCAGAGTCATCTTCAAATGATGCTGGTTCCTAGACAGCAGATGGACATTTTCCTTGCTGTTAAATGCAGGTATGCTCCCTTCCCACAGCAGAACAGTTAATAGTTTTATAATGTTAATAGTTACATTACTGAAAAACTATCACATGGTTTCATACTCTGTTTTTGTTTGTAGAGCTCTGGCGACTAACCCTCACACATCTGAGCTGTCAGATCTGGCCCAGGCTGTTGTTAGAGTTGAGGTAAGATCATTACCTCATTTCCATAGTACTTATTTACACTCGGTCTTGTTTGTTTCTCTTTTTTTCCCCATTTTAATTTTTTTATGATGCCATGTCTTTTTCATTAACTTATTGGTGGAGAGGTTTTACATGTGTGTGTGTGTGTGTGTGTGTGTGTGTGTGTGTGTCTCTTCAGATGCTGAAGCATCAGGATGACTGGGCTGGATTGGCACTGGTATTCTGTGGTGTTTGTGTGGGTTCACACAGTCCCCCAGAACTTCTCAGGTTCTGCTGCTGCGTTACCATGGCGCTGCTGAAAGAGCCCAAAGACAAACTCACCCTACCATATGAGCTGTTTGCTGAATCAGGTACACACTTACTCGATTTCATTGATTTAAAAAATGTCATACATACATGACCATTTAAAAGTTAGGGTTTGGTAAGATTGTTTAAATCTTTTTGAGAAAAGTCTGATATGCTCATTAAGGCTTTATTTAATTGGTCAGCAGTAAAACCAGTAGGGCTGCACGATGTGTCATTTTAGCATCAATATCGCAATGTGCACATCCACGATAGTCACATCGCAAGGATGTGCGATGTCAATTAGGGAACGTAGTTGATCCGTGATTCATGATCAGTAGGCTACGTGCCAGCAGTAACGGTTGTGATTCGCTGATTAATTGCAAAGTTTAACCATCATAGTGTGAGAGTTTATCAATTTGCAAGTCCTGTCAGTTTAAACATCAAGTGCTGTTTTCTGTCAGCGCATTTTTGTCCCGCCAAAGCTTGACCGGTGAATGATGACGATGAGTGACTTCGGTGCTCATTTAACTGAGAGAGTGAAAGCCCCTGTCTCGCCGTGCACTATCACCGTCTTCAAACTTCAAACACCGTCTTGCTCTCTCTCTCTCCCTCCCTCACGCTTATTAATGAATTGAGATGACTGAATATCTTTGAGAATACAATACAATTTTATTTGTAAAGCACATTTAAAACAACCGAGGTTTGCCAAAGTGTTGAACACTGACATAATTTCAGACAAAATTATAAACACATGACAAAAGCACAAGACACAGTTAAACAAGTGACAAGACAAAACAAAAAGCAGATTAACTCCGACGCCAATGAATAAAAGTACGTTTTAAATCGTGATTTAAAAGTCTCAATGCTGGGGGCTACCCTAACACACATAGGCAAATCATTCCACAGCCTAGGGGCCACGACTGAAAAAGCTTGGTCTCTCCGATTTTTAAGTCTTGTTTTAGGAACTGATAAGAGTAGTTGGTCAGCAGACCTTAATGACCTCAGAGGAGCATGCATCATCAGTAGGTCATCTATGTAAGCTGGAGCTTGCCCATGAAGAGATTTAAAAACAAACAATAAAATCTTAAACTGTATTCTAAAACAAACTGGTAACCAATGAAGAGAAGCAAGAAGAGGCATAATGTGCTCCTGTTTACGGGTTCCAGTAAGGAGTCGAGCGGCAGCTTCCTGAACTACTTGCAATCTAGAGAGAGAGGCCTGGTTAACTCCTATATATAACAAATTACAATAATCCAGGCGGGTGGTAATAAAAGCATGTATAACCCTCTCCAGATCTTTGAAAGATAAAAAAGGCTTCAATTTGCCTAAGTTGAAAAAAACTGGCTTTTACAACAGAGTTTATCTGTTTCTCAAGGTTAAGATCACTATCCAACTTTACACCAAGGTTCGTTACCATAGACCAGGGGTCCCCAACTAAATTGGCAAGAGGTCCACTAACCCGATGAGCCCAGTAAACAAGGGTCCGGACATGCAAAAACACCCGGCAAAATAAGTTTTCTTTCACTTTATTAAATTTTATTAAATTGTAACCATGTAAACAAATTGACAAAATTTTTGACAATAAAATCTTTATCTTTAAATGTATTCAACTGCTTTTGTTGAAATTCATTCAAGTATTATTTCATTTTAGTGCAAATATTCACATGTTAAACCTTTCAACATCAATAACAGGAAGCATAATTTTTATTGGCGGATAATTTTCATTGACAGTTGTGCGTCTTGTCTCGAAATGCCGCTTGATGTTTCCACTTTTAACAACAGCAACAGACTCCGAACAAATAAGACGCACGGGCCTCGTAGAGCTTGATGACGGCAAAAATGAACGCGTACACTTCAGTCCACTCATCTCGAAAGATGCGGGTCCACTTTTCTAATTTTTGACAAAGCCATAATAATCAATTCACGAATATCATAGTAATGTGTGTACGAGCCAAAGTTTGTGATCTCTCCAGACCCCGGCTCTTGCAAAGGACCTAACACAGACATAGTTGCCTGCGCGCACGCCTGTTCAAAAATTACTCCTGATAAAAATTCATTTTATTTTTTTTTTCTAAAACTTTTTAACAAAAATGTTTAGAGGTCCGGATAAAATGGTATTGGGGTCTGGACCTGGACCCTGGTCCGCCAGTTGAGGACCCCTGCCATAGACTTTATGTAAGGCGTCAGGGGTCCCAGGTCCAATTTGGAGGTGCTAGTAGAGCTGCTCAAACTAAAAATAATAATTTCAGTTTTACTTTCATTAAAATGTAATACATTTAGAGCCATCCATGCTTTAATGTCATAAAAGCAATCTAAGAGCCTTTTTGTCAAATCCTCACCCTTACTCTTTATAGGCAGGTAGATTTGTAAATCATCTGTGTACAGATTCTTTAAGATAGATCCTAATGGAAGCAAGTAAAGGGAGAAGAGGATCGGTCCCAAAATAGAGCCCTGCGGTACTCCGCGTGTCACTGGTGCAACTGGAGAATTTGAGCTCCCATACTCAACTTTAAACACTCTCTCTGAGAGATACGATCTAAACCATTTTAATGCAGTGCCCTTAATCCCCACGCTGTGCTCAAGACGCGAGATGAGAAGAGCATCAGAATTGTAGGATCACCAGAATCTGTTGAAATCAAAAGATCATTAAAAACTTTTATAAGTGCAATCTCTGTGCTATGAAAAGTTTTGAAACCAGACTGGAACACCTCAAGAATAACATGTAGATCTAAATAGGCTTGTAACTGCACTAGAACTACCTTCTCTATCTTGGACATAAAAGGAAGTTTAGAAATCAGATGATAATTTGAGAGAACTAAAGTGTCCAGATTTTGTTTTTTAATAAGGGGCTGCACCACAGCCTCTTTAAAACAAAGTGGCACATAACCAGAAGAAAGACTACTGTTTATGATTGTTTGAATATGTGGTCCAATAGTGTTCCATACCTCTTTAAATATACGTGGTGGAGTAATATCAGTGGAACAGATTGACGGTTTTAAATGGTTTACACTATCATTAAGGGCCACGATGGAAACAGGCTCAAACTCACTGAAGACTGCAGAACACTCAATAAAAATGGAAGGATCAGAGGCTGGAGGTGAAACGCTAGCTCTAATAGTGGGTAATCTTTTCCACAAAAAAGTGGAGGAATTTTTCACAAATCACAGTAGATTCTTCCTGCATTAAATATTGAGGGGTATGAAGAACAGAATTTATTGTTCTAAAAAGAACATGAGGTTCATGGCCATTTTTATTGATAACATCAGAGAGGTATTTAGCCTTTTCAGTTTTAACAGTTCTCTGGTAATTACGCCAACAGTCCTTTAGGATATCATAAAAAAATTGCAACGTATGTTTTTTTCCATTGGCGTTCAGCTTTCCTACACTTTTGCCTAGCCGCTCGAGTTAAATCATTAATCCACGGTTCAGAATTAGGTTTGGAGCGCCTGGGCTTGAGTGGTGCAATTTTATCAAGAATATTTATACAGGTGGATGAAAAACATGAAATAAGCTGATCTGTACATAAGGAGGCAGACGGCTCTGTAGTCTCTATAACATTACTAAATGCTTCGGAAAATTGTTTAATCATCCTGTGGATACGAGGTGGAGCATAAAACAGTGTTATTTGAAAGAGAAACATCAAATAAAATTGGTGCATGATCAGAAAATACAGGCTTTTGTATCTCAATATTTAAAATAGGCAAACTGCATGACAAGACACATGACGCATGACAAAATACATGACGGTAAAAGGTCGGAAATTCCAATGGTTGTGAATTGTGCTAAAATAACGTTGCCTTATCTCTCTGAAAAGCGTTCGGTAACACTTTATAATAACTACACGCTAATAATCATTAGTTAAGCATGAGTAAACCATTAATTCATCATTCATAAAGCATTAATAGACATTAATAAGCAGTTCATAAATACATCTATAAATGCTTTCTTCTTGATTTAAAAGCATATCTATAACTTGTTTAATAATTGTATTTTCATCCTTTATTAATGATCAATTTATCATTTCTAAATGAAGAATTGCATTTTTTATGAACCAGTTATTTAAGAGTTTTCAGTGGTTCATACGATTACTTAGAGCGAGTAAGTAAATGATTAATAAACTATTTAAATGTACATTCATACATCTTATTATTCAGACATATAGTGATGGTTACTTAATGTGTTAATAAATGCTTTATTAACATATATTAATGTTGTAATTCAGGGTTAATTTAGGTTGTTATAAAGCATTTAGTAGTGGTCAGTTAACTATGTTCGTGAGCTCATCTAAAGTGAGGACTAGTCATGCCTTGTAAAGCATTTTTAAAGGCTGTTAAATATTTCTATGTTCTGTATCACTGCGTTGTGTTTGTTACGTTTTTCTGTTTAGAAGATTGACGAGTCTTTAACCCTTATGCTGCATTAGGGACATTTTTGGTCTTTTGCAGTTTAATTTCTTTGACCATTTTGGCTGTTTTAATGCAAATGGTATGAAATTTGGCAAAATTGTGACATTTTGGATACATGTAAAAAATGTGATGCCATTTTGCAAAATATGTATAACACACACTGTGTAGATCAAATAGTAACACTCAGCACCATAAAGACCAAAAATGGCCCATTGAAACCCATTAAAACGTTGTTTAAATCTGAGGCTGTCAGTAATACATGAAACATGATTTTTGCACAAACATCCTTTCATTTTGAAGCAAAAGCATTATATTTGCATTATATAGTGTATTCCACCAGATGACGTCACTACATATTTATTCCCTATGGGTGCAAATGCACCTTATTTTAGGCAATAGGCAATGTTTAATAGGTGGCCATTTTTGGTCTCTAACGCGCTAAGTGGGATTTTTTGCAAAGTGGGACTGTGATGATCCAAATCTAAAGTTTTCTCTTTGCATTTAGTTTATTGAAAATAATTGAATTTTTGTGTTTTTTCCTCTTATACAAATCGATGGTTTCGCAAACAAAACTGGTAATTAAAGGGTTAAAATCCTGAAATTGAATACATTTTTGGTAGTTATGATGAGGACTGATGCTGGTTAAAAGATTTAACTTG